CAGGAGACTTGAGTTGTTTGAGGCTGCATGCAAAGTGTTCGCTATACCGATGGAGAACAGCCACGTTTGGAGCCGCATGAGATTCTTCACGTGGTTTCGAGCGACATTGGCATTTTGGTAATATGCGGTGACGAAGGATCACATGAAGAAACATCAGAAAGAATATCGGCAGTTCCTAAGCTAGAGATAGGACCGGAAGCCTTCAAGAGACCTTTGCTGACCCACCGAAATGCGGTTACGACGGGTTGGAAGAGAGTTGGTAGGGTGTCTCGAGATAAAACCAAGGCGAGAGAGTCAATATTGGAAGATGACTTGGCGAACAACGTGAGCCTGAGTCTTCACAATTCCTTTTGCCGGAACAAGGAATCGAAAGTGAAGGGTTTGCCAAACCAGGCAAAGAGGTTGCAAGATCAGAGGGAGTGGATGCGATCCAACGAACAACTAAAAGCGTGGGAGGAGATCGTGATCGGCTCCGATGATGAGGAAGCGCTGCTAAGGCAGATTACGGTGTCAAACGCATCAGGGCCTAGCACCTCAAAGGCAAGGAACACAAAATGAGGGATTCTTGAGTCTTGAGAGGGAAGCAAAGGGGCTCGAGTGTGAACTCGGATGAAATCTGAGGTCACGAAAAAGAAATTTTAACGAAACGGAATATTGTTATTAATATGCTATATCTTTTATATAAACCAAATTGACATTTTTCTGATTGGATAAGACAAAAGAAACTTTTATCATTAGCTTGCCAAGCGGAAATTTAAGGTACAGGTGTATGCAGATTTTGATTGCTGTTTAGCGATAGTGTGACAATTTTGCATGGTTGTGAATTTTGGGGCGTATATAAAATTAAATCTGCTGCGAACTTCTGTAAATGACCACTGGCACTGTATCTTGAGCAACACTCAACATTCTGGGGATTCACTGGCAGACGGCAACACGCGATGAGGACATCGATCTTGAGTCCGGGGAGTATGTGCCAGTCGGTCATATTTGGAAGTTTGACCTTGAGCAATAGGAACAACGTGATTTTGGGGTGAAATGGAAAATTTGAAAAATTCGAATTGAGCATGTCATGCTCAATTTTTTCGCGACAACTGAAAATCTCAGAAATATAAGATCAGGACAATCAAACTACAATTGCGGGAAAGTGGTCAAAAAAGCAGCGGGAAATTGCTATTAGCAATTTCCAGATATAGTATCACACTAGAGTAGAGCTGTCTTATCCTGAAATAGGAGACAGAACGATCACGAAAGCAGATGAAATTCATATGAAGGGGACAAGAATTAACCTTCGTTGGAAAGGTGGAGAAACGGGATCTCCCAATGCTCCAGTCTCAAAAACTCAAATCCCAAGTTGAAACTCATTTCCTTTGCTGGAATTCATTAATTACAGACTTCTTGAGTTAAAACTTAATTCCCTTTAATGCTAGAGTTGCTAGTTGATTTAGTTACTCCAATTCTCGAGTGTGCTGGTATGTGAGTACCCAATTTAGTTTTCTTGAGTGCGTTTTATACTTGTTATGTTGATGTAGGGAGATTGTTAGGTTGATCCATCTGAAATGGATCAAAGTTCCACTGTCTAATAATAAGCAACTAAAACGGAATGTTCCGACCCTGTTTTTAACGGCGTTTGCGTTTTTTGGGTATTTTGAGACCTAAGTATGGGGACGTTCTTTTTTTCTAGAGTTGGGGGGGGGGTATTTTGGTAGTGGCCTTTAAGCTGTAGCGAGGGATTTTATTCTCATGTCGCAAGTGAATCGAATTGGTTCCGACCGTTCGAGGTAGAAAAACACAAGAGATAGTGTCCCTGACTCTTGAGCCAATGATTATAGGGCCGACTTTTCTTTAACCTCATATGTGACTTAAGTAGTCGACTGTTACAGGTTGAATGTCATCCCATGCAAAAACTTAAGGTTAAAACTTTCGAACCAACAACTTAGAATTTTGATAGGACTTAGAATAGGCTCAAAAATTTTGGAACGGCATAAATTCGTGTGCGGAAAAGACGTTACTGAGGATAGTTGGCATGGTCTTTATTGCCCCAAAAGTGCAGGGAGATTCTCTAGGCATTCAAACCTGAATGCCCTTGTACAGCAGAGTTTATCTTCTACTCATATTCAGTCTGTTTTACAACCACGACCCCTCTACACGACCGATCAGAAGCAGAGATTTCAATACAATATCAATATATTGAGCTCAATATCAATATCTTCCATTCAATATCAATATCAAATAGGATGAAATTTCAATATCAATATCAATATCAATATCTAAAAGCTCAATTTCTCAATATTATCACTATTTTAAGATACCAGAGACCAAATTGAATATTGAATTTCGAAATATATAATTAAATTTGTTTAGTTGTTTTTGCAATGTAATTGTTTTTTGTTTAATTTGTTTAATTTTAATGCTTGAGTGAGTTGAGTTGACTGTTTGACTGTTTGACTTAGTCAGTCCATTGAGTTAACTTGAATTTCTTTTGGTTTTTTTTACAGAAATGCCTGATGATGTTGTTGAATTTCGTGTGAACAAGAAGAGCGATTTGCCTATTAATAAACTATTTCTGATTAAGTTTGTGAACGGAAAAGAGACAGAATGGCGAAAGTGTCTAAAATGCGGTGATATTCGCAGAGCACCTAATTCTGGGACAAGCGGCTTACGTCTACATCTAACAAAATGTCCCGGTAATGATGCCTCTAAGGACAGCCGCGATGTCAACCAGGATGTTATTCCTTTTGCGAAAAAGCCTAAATTGGATGATATACCTGCACTGATGCACAAGATTTCGCGTTTAGTGTACGAAGACAACCTAACGATTAATACGGTTGTAAATTCTAGTACGTTGAAGTGGTTCTTCGAAGGACGTAATGTTGGAAAGGTAACATATCACAAATTGAATAAAGTGCTCGATGCAGACTATCAGTTCTTATTCGCTAAAGTAAAATCATTCATTGAGTCTCGTGACAAAAAGTAGGTGCTTTTCATTTCGTTTGATAAATGGACAGCTCAAGATGAAAAAAAATTGGACAATGCAACGCATTGGGATTCCGTGTTTGATATGCTTAAACGATTTCTGGAGCTGAAAGACATACTGCAGCTGGTGGTTCCAAACGACGAATTGAAGTTTTATGATTGGAACAAACTGCAAATTATATGCAACATCTTACAGCCACTTAAGGTATTTTAAAGTTCAAAGGTAATAGGTATGTTAATATTAATTACTGTGTGTGATTAAGATGTGGTTGAGTGTTGGTTTAGGAATGCACAAAGTCGCTGCAGGCAAAGAATCCAGGAATTGAGGGAGGCAAGAAAGTATTAAAGTTTCTCCACTTTTTGTCACAAAAAGAGTTATCGCTACATGGTCCAATTACTGCAGTCTTGAGCAAGTGGGTAACAAATAACAGCGTGGCGAGCGCTGTAGTGAATGGAACTGGGGCATTCGCCGATATTATCAAGGAGCAAGTCCTGCAACAGCGACCGGTAGAAGCAGGAACTCACGATGCCGATCATTCGTATGTGAACCAAAGCATTTCCTTTGAAGACTTTGAAAATGAGGAATTCGAGGCCGATTTCAACATTCAGCAGTTCATGAAAAATTTTAGACCCGCAAGTGCTGACGCGGAGCGGCTGTTTTCGTTTTGCCGTCTTTCCAAGACATATTTACAAAACAGGCTTAGCGTGGAACGGCATTGTCGCAATGTGTTTTTATATAAGAATAAGGCCTTCTTTGATTTATAATCAGTGTTCATGTAATACCTCTTTGAAAGAGGCTGTTTCACATTTCAGAAATTTTTTATCACCATTTGTTTTATGTGTATGTGTTAAAACGTCACGTTTCAAGCAATGATACAAAATCCGTTTTTCTCAATATCTACAAAAAATTCAATATCAATATCAATATCTAGCCTTCAATATCTCAATATTAAAAATTCAATATTGACATCGTCTCAATATTCAATATCTGATCATTCAATATATTGCAATCCCTGATCAGAAGCGACCAGACGGTTTGACGATCGTTCCATGGGCTGTTCCTAAGCAACTCTTGTGGGATGTAACGGTAGTAGACTCCTAAGCTCCTTGTAAGATTAATGCCGGGTCTGTTTGTAACCCTGGTACGGCTGGCGCTGAAGCGGAATAGCGAAAAAATGACAAGTATAAAGATCTTGTAGATGATGGATATCTTTTTCAACCGCTAGCTTTTGAGATTCAGGGCGCGGCCGGCCACAGCACAGAATTTTTTTGAGCAAGCTTTATAAGAACCTAAGCATATGCACTGAGGAACCCAGAGCAGGCAGCTTTTTAAAACAGAGAATCTCCCTGGCAATACAGATTGCGAACGCCGCTTGCGTACTCGGAACAATAAATGACAAATTAACTTCGACGAAGTTTTTTATTTGTACCACTTGTATATTATATTTTCTCGTGTCGAGTGGCGTGTTCTTATTGAAGAAATGTAACCCGTATCGATTTTTAATTGAAAAGCACTTAAAAATTTGTCATCTTCTTTTATCATTATCTCTTCCATATCTAGAAAATTCCAAGGATTTTGACTGGAATACGTGATGAAGGGACTTCTGACTGTAACCTCGGTTACTATGATACTTTTGACCTTCTGATTACTCTGTAAAAAAAGCTATTTCTTGTCTTGTGAAATCACGTTCATCTTTATCAGTAGCGGAAGTTTGAACTCTTTTGCGATCCCCCTTTGCCATCATAAAGTTAATCTGAAGTTGACTTATTAAATAGGGATTGCCTATTTAAAAAGTTTATCACAACAATTAGGCTCACTATGAAATAAGTTAAGGAAGTTGATAAGGCTAGGTAGTCAATTAATTAGGCTAATCAGTCAATTTGGTTGGCTTGAGTCGCAGCCATCTGACTCTCGTTACAAAACATTTTGACTTCATGAAAAGATAAAGTACTAGAATAGTATGGCTGCCATGATAATTTCTGACTTGATCTAATGGCCGGAAAAAATGATAAATTAAAAGACGAATTGTGAAGTTGTTATAAGGTATTCGTTCAGATCCATAATGGGACTTTTTGGAAACTTTGTCGCTGGAGGACTAGCAGGCTTGGCTGTCGATCTCTGTCTGTTCCCACTGGACACTATCAAGACCCGGCTGCAGAGTGAGCAAGGATTCTTCAAGGCGGGAGGATTTTCTGGAATCTACAAAGGGATTGGGTCTGTTTTGTCTGGATCTATTCCCTCGGCTGCGATATTCTTCATTGTATACGAAGGCTTCAAAGCTTACTACTCAATCTATCCGCCAGGATCAACGTCCGAGGCAGCGGTTCAAGCAATTGCATCTGCGCTTGGAGCTATCGCCGCTTGTATAGTCCGAGTACCTGTAGAGGTGGTCAAGCAGAGATCTCAGGTATCTTTGGACAGCACTAAATCAAGTCTCGATGTGTTCCGCGAGACTGTGGCGAAAGAGGGATACCATGGTTTATATCGCGGCTTCCGAATCACTGTGATAAGAGACAGCTTGTTTTCGCTTCTGGAATTCCCAATCTGGGAACAAATGAAGACTTTCTATGCGGTCTATTATGGTCTAGAAAAAACTGCACCCCTCGCTGGTGCCTGCCTGGGAGGTGTTGCCGGAGCGATATCTGGATTCCTGACCACTCCCATTGACGTAGCTAAAACCCAGATGATGTTGGCGGACTCAGATGCTTTGGCTACCAAGATGGGACTACTGCAATCTCTCGTTCGAATTGGCGGACAAGGAGGTCTGCCAGGATTGTTCAGAGGTGCAGTCCCTCGTGTATGCTGGATCTCAATTGGAGGATTTATCTTCCTGGGCGTTTATGATTCGGCATTGACATACATGAGCACAGTTGCGGTATAAAATGTGCCTTGAAACTTGGATCCAAAGCGAAAGGTGCAAGTGATTACATCATGAAGGTTAACAAAAACTAGAATTATAATCATCATCAGTTGCTGTCACGTATAGCTCTTATTCTCTTTACATATCGATTTTGTTTATTATGAAAATATGAAGCAGACTTGAAAAGTTATCTATTGATGAATATTGGCTCTATTGCGCTTGATTTTTTATTTCAGTCTGACTTTTTCTTTTGCTCGATGTAAGTATTTGTAATTAATCCAATATGTATTCTTAAACCACGATGGTGTCCACAAAATCTTATATTGTCAAATTTTTATTGTAAATAAGTAAAAATTTATGTTCTTTAACCCATGATCGGGTTATTTGTTGATTGCTTATCGTCCAATTCGTTTGTGAAATTATAGATTTTATCCATTTAGGTGCTTCAATGTAAAAACTTAATTGAACGTTTCCTGAATGGTCTTTCGTAAATACTTCTGTTTTAATATTTTGTTAACTCTGTTTTCTATTTAAACGTTACTTTTGCCAGCTCCGTCGCCGCTAAAACGCCCATATGAACACGTTCTGGTTGCTGAGTTACATGCTGGTTGGATGGTTGGAGTCACTTTTTAATGACCAGTACTTTTATTCAGTTGCACCAGAAATTTGTTTTAAAGTGTTAAAGATGAAATAGATTTTTACTTAAATATGTGAAGATTTTTGTTCGTTTTTTTTCGGAGAAAGTCTATTAAAAGGAAGGCAAGCTCCACTGTCCAACTGCCAAAAGCGTGAAGTTCACTAAAAAAGTGAATTACTTCTTTTCAAAAATTGGACCAGTGGAATAAAAAAAGTCTTAATTGGAACCAGTAAAGTACAACTGATTGGCAAATACATTTACAAATTGTAGTTTCTCAAGAACCTATCAGGGAAATGCCGCGTATATGTCATCAGATAATTGCCGACTGGGTTTCGCGCTCTCAATTTTGCTTCGCTATACTTTGATCGAGATGTATTTATACTTGAAAGGATATGGTTGTCATCTCTCGATATCTATCACCACACAAATAACCTACTAGTACAGTTTTCTCTAAATGGTAAATTATTCACTAAAAAGTTTCACTCGTAATTCTCAAATTTCGAAAACTTTGACACGATATGTTTTTTCTCCAAATTTTGAAAAATGAAAAACCTCAACTTATTCTTTTTCTTGATTTCTTTTTCACTTTTCCAAGCATCTATTGGCAATATTTTTTTTGTTTCATCTCGCGATGTGTGCTTGCACAAGGTTCGTTTACTGTACCTGCGTATTCACTAGTTTCCTCCGTCATCTTTTGTTTGTCTCAAGTGTTGATAAATCATTTTTCTGACCACTCTGGAATAGTGGGAAGTAGCTAATGGTTAGGGTTCTTCTATGTCCGAATTGTTTTTTTTTCAGGTAGTTTTTTTCTCAAAGAAAGCTCGTTGGGAATCAAGTGTGGTATCATAATAAGTGTTTTACTCTTGATTCAGATTCTAAAAGTGTCGAAAAAACATCGATGAGTGGCTGTGACCTTCTAAGTTTGTTTTGCAATGTCTGGGTTAATGCACCTAATAAGAACTGCGCCAGTTTTCCAAAATGAATCAAAACTCTCCAAGTATCAAATCTCATCTGAGAAAAATTCAAAAAGATCACCAATGTGAACATCACTGACAAAGACTGGAAGCAAATTAATCTCCCCCTGAAAGTGGCTGGATTTGATATACATTTCTCACTTGACGTTTCCAGACCTGCCTATATCTCGTCAGTTTCCAGACATGCCTATATCTCGTCAGTTTCCAGACATGCCTATATCTCGTCAGTTTCCAGACATGCCTATATCTTGTCAGTTTCCAGACATGCCTATATCTCGTCAGTTATATAAATGCCAGATCATACCAACGAATGATCTGGCATTTGCAATTGTCGGAGAATAACCTACCACGTTTCTGAATGAAGCAGCCGACTTCTGGCGGTCCAAGGTCTCTGAAAACAGCCCGATTCAGTTAGACCCCTCGAAGTAGAACGCCCTGCTTGTGCCGATTGCTACTTAAGTCCATGATGGTTACTCCTTGAATCCTCTGACTTCATAAGACGCGTCTTCTCGGAGCTTCCGCATCATCATCATAGGGCTTTCCAGGCAGCTACTGCCCATTGCCCGCCACATGAGCATCTCGAACCAAGGCTTTCCATTGAAGCTGGTTGACAGCTATTTCTTTTGTCCGGTCGAACCAGGATTCTTCCCATTTCTGAGAGATTTTTAGGGGTTTTGCGAAGGGATGGACATCTTTCTGCACGAGTTGTCTCCAAGTAAACTTACTGCCACCTCGTGGACGTTTCTAGTTTTCAGCTTTCTCAAACTCTAGGGCTGCGTTTCGAATTTCATCTTGGGGCATTCTCAGTACATGGCCAAGCCATTTCAGGCTCATGTGACCGCACCAGGCTCATGTGACCGATTGAACGCTCTAGCTTCATCCGATTTGGGGCTTGCTCTCACAGACTATCAGTTTCGCGTTTGATCTGCTCTTCGAATTGGTGCCGCTCTCTCTTATGCACATCGTGAGCTGATGAGCTAGGTAATCATGCTCTGGTCTGCAAGTCCCTTAAGTCGAGATTTTCAAGGCGCAGCCTGGGCAAGCAAATGATCCGCCAAACCCCCCGCACTGCCGAACTACCATCTACCTGTCGGCCTGCTACGAAATGATGGAGGAGGCCGGACGGCGTGACAACGTTGCCATGGTCTCGAGGGAGATCTGCAGGTTGGGACTTCACATGCGTTCACCGACTAGCAGCCTCTCATGTCGCTAAAGCTAAGCAACCAGGTGCCAGTCGCTACTGCCCAAGAAAATGTTCGACAAAACACTTCAGGGACTTACCTAACTGTTATAATCTTGAGCTAGTTGCTGTGGAAACCATTGGAGGTTTTAGCGAAAGCAGTTGAGTCTTACTGAAAAACTTATCCAAGAAAATGGAAGAGCAAACAGGAGAGAAAAGATGATTCCCCTATCTGAAACAATGACTTCGGCTTAGCCGCTCGTGGTAATGCCGCCTGTATTTTAGAAGCAGTCACTGGCAGCCATAACATCAATATCTCTATTTCAGTTTCGCGTCTTCTGAACTATAGTTTGACTGCTTCTTTGTTTCTCTTTCTGACTGTTAAACAGTTTTGTAAATATGTTCACAATATTCTATTTCTGACTGTTTTATTTGACCTTTTCTAAATCGTTCTAAAATATTTAACGCTACTTTTTTTAAAGTTATCACCCATGCGAGAAGCGAGGGTATCGCAATCAGGTACTCGACTTGTATTTCCCGTGAATATTTTGTTCACAGAATGGTCAAATTTAGAAATGGTAATTTTAAGTTCAGTTCACAAAGTTCATCAAATTTAGCGTTGCCGGCACACTTAGCCAGAGGTAACGAATACGCCTGGAACGACGAAAGTCTTGGGTTCAAATCTGACAGGACCTGTTTTTTTTTCAAAATAAAAAAAAAACATTCTCATTGCTTTGAGTGTTCTGATTTATTTCTGCTGTTAGTAATTTTACTAACCTTGACTTTGTTCATACTTTTTTGTTGCTTAGAAACTTTATTCTGCCCTAAACGGTTTCAGCTTATGTTTTATCGGCTTAGTGACCTGTGAACAAAATATAGTTTTGAGTGAGCAAAATATAGTTTTGAGTCGTTTGAAGGGAAACATAATTTTCATGCTCACCTGTGGATAGCACAAATTGCCAAATTTCTCATGACACAATTTTTTTGTCTCAGCTGTTTTATTGGCTTATTAGGTTTCGGCCTATGTTATAATGACTTAATGACCTCAAGTTGAGTTTTTCGACAAGCAAAAAAGTCTCAGTGTGCTTGTCTGTGTTTTGAGGGCGAGGGGACTTAATAACTTCTTATTAGTCTTATTTTAGACTTAATAAATTTTTGTTTATTTTTTTCCAATTTTTTTTCGGCTTTTTAGTCTCAATAGGTTTCGCCTTTTTGTATATTGGCTTCATGTTGTTTATAATTATAGACAATTATTATAATAGACAATTATATAAAGTTTTCTTCGTGTTTTTTAGGAGGAGGGGTTGGTGCTAGGTGAAGCTAGTTACCAGGGTTGGTGCTCTAGCTTTGTATCCGAATACCAAAAAATGCTTTTTTCATTTAGGACAAAAAAGTCGGTTTGTGTGCCTCAGTTTTATTGATTTTATTTTCAATCAGATTGTAATTTTTGAGCTTCGATATTGTAAATTTTCGCATTTTATATCCGTTGCAGAATCTGGTTCATGATTTCAGATCATTCAAGCTATTTTCAAGTGGTTATAAACATCTCTCAAGTACTTATTGAGCTCTCGCCCCCACACGCGAGGATGGGGAGGGGGTTGCTCAACTGATCCGTCAGGTCTAAAGAATGGTCTAATTTAGAAATGGTAAATTTAAGTTCAGTTTATAAATTTCGTCAAATTTAGGGCTGCCGGCACACTTAGCCAGGAGGTAACGAATACGCCTGGAACGGCAAAGGTCTTGAGTTCGAATTTGATAGGACCTTTTTTCAAAATAAAAAAAAACATTCTAGTTGCTTTGAGTGTTCTGATTTATTTCTGCTGTTTGTAATTTTACTAACCTTGAGTTTGTTTTTACTTTTTGTTGCTTAAAAACTTTATTCTGCCACAAATGGTTTCAGCTTGTGTTTTATCGGCTTAGTGACCTAGTTTTGAGTCGTTTCAAGAGAGCACAGTTTGCTAAATTTTTTATGACACAATTTTTTTGTCTCAGCTTTTTTATTGGCATATTAGGTTTCCGCCTATGTTATAACGACTTAATGACCCCCAGCTGAGTTTTTCGACGACCAAAAAAGTCTCAGTGTGCTTGGCTGTGTTTTGAGGGCGAGGGGACTTAATAAATTTTTTAAAAATTTTTCCTATTGTTTTCGGCTTTTTTGTCTCAATAGTTTTCGCCTTTTTGTATAGTGGCTTCATGTTGTTTCATATGACAACTAAATAAAGTTTTCTTCGTGTTTTTGAGGAGGGGTTGGTGCTAGGTGAAGCGATTTACCAAGGTTGGTGCTCTAGCTTTGTATCTGAATACCAAAAAATGCTTTTTTAATTTAGGATAAAAAATCGCCTTATGTGCCTCAGTTTTATTGATTCTTTTTTCACTCTGAATGTAATTTTTGAGATTTGATATTGTAAATTTTCGCATTCCTCCTTCGTTGCAGAATCTGGTACATGATTGCATATCATTCAAGATATTTTCAAGTGGTTATAAACATGTCTCAAGTACGCGAGGATGGGGGTGAGGGGTTGCTCAACTGATCCGTCGGGTCTCAAGAATGGTCAAGTTTAGAAATAGTTAATTTCAGTTCGGTTCACCAATTTCATCAAATTTAGGGTTGCCGGCACACCTAGCCAGGATGCAACGAATACGCCTGGAACGGCAAAGTCTTGGATTCGAATCTGACAGGACCTGTTCTTTTTTTCAAAATAGAAAAAAATGTTCCAAGTTTTCTGATTTATTTCTGCTGTTAGTAATTTTAATAACTTTGAGTTTGCTTACTTTTTTTAGCTTGAAAACTTTTTTCTGCCCCAAACAGTTTCAGCTTATGTTTTATCGGCTTAGTGACCTAGTTTTGAGTCGTTTGAAGGGATAGCACAAATCGCTAAATTTTTCATGACACATTTTTTTTTCTCAGCTTTTTTATTGGCTTATTAGTTTTCGGCGATTTGATGGCCTCAGATTGCGTTTCTCGAGGAGCAAAAAAGTCTGTGTGCTTGTCGGTGTTTTGAGGACGAGGGGGACTTAATAGATTTTTATTAGTCTCTTTATTAGATTTAATAAATTTTTATTAAATTTTTTTTTCCAATTGTTTTCTTTTCTTTTGTCGTCTCAATAGTTTTCGCGTTTTTTTTATATTGGCTTAGTGGCTCGTGTTTGTTCCATTTGACTACAAAATAAAGTTTTCGTGTGTTTTTGAGGAGGGGGTTTGGAACTCACTGCCCGATTTTGTAACTGATATTGACGAATTTGCTGCATTCAAACGAGTCTTGAAGACTTGTTTTTGTTGCTAGGCTTTGTGAGCCTTCTACCACTCTTGAGTTCCAGAAAGAGTGGCAAACCAATCGTCATCATCATCATCATCATCATAAGTTTCAAGGATGAAGGGGATTTTTTATGTCTTAAGTCTTATTGATTTTTTTTCGGCTTAAAGGGTTGCTGCTGAGGATTTTTCGGGTTTTTAACCGCTTGTTAAGTTTTCTTTTGGTGCTAATTTTGCATTTTTCAAAGCTAGCCCATTTTGATCAATCTAGTTTCACCGACACTTTCAATTTTTCCGACTTAGCAGCTTTCTTCATTTGTATCGCAAGTGGTGCGAAGCTCAGCTTCGCCTCTGTGTTTAAACTGAGTTACTGCTCCTTCTTGTTTTTTTTTCACCTTATCAGCATCAAATGAGCAATCTCCTCCAAATCCCGCATAGGGGATAGCTCAATAGGTACTTGAGGCATGTATCTAACCACGTGAAACTAACTTTACCAAAGTTCGCAAAATCATAACCCAAAAATTAGTTTTACAGTGAAAAATAATCTTTTAATTTGCATAATCAATCGTCTTTTTTCTGTTAGAAAATTTGAAAAATATGCAATCGCGTACCTTTTTAGGTTTCTGAAAGGTTCGATTTTGGGTATTTAGATACATAGTTATGGAAGCATCAGTCCTGGTAACTTACCTCCTCCGAGATAATGATCTGCCAAACAAAAAAGTTTCAGGTCAATATTTTTTTCAAAATTCTTCCCTGTCGCTCAAATTAAAAAAATTCAATCGACTTCCAATTGCATATGTCCCTGCTCGCGTTGGATTTGGTACCACCTTTGTTGTGTTTTGCTTAAGGGGAGTGTATTAGCTCAATTGGTCATTACGGGAGGGCGATTGCTCAATTGATCCCCTAATTTAATGGATTTTTCTATGAATTAAAAGTAACAGGAAATTTAGGCAACAAAAAGAACAATTGTTTCTGCAATTTTCATTTTTTAAAATTATATATTTTTTTCACAAATCATATTGGTCGGAACTTAGTGTACTCATTCTACAGCAAACGCGTTCCCTTGTTTTTTTTTATGTTGGTTATAAATTACTTACTCGGATCCACGCGCGGATCTAGGAATTACTCGCATCCAGGCGCGGATGTAGGAATTTCTCGGGGGGGAGGGGCGGATTTTCAAAAAAATTTAAAAGTTTTGTCGACCTTTTGCTTTTTTGGAAAATTTTGATTTATACTCAAAATTAGTATAGATTGGCGCCGAAGGCGCCCTTAGAACACTTTTAAGGTCAGTCGGCCAAAAATGGATATCTCAAAAAAGTACAAAGGGGGGACCCTTTGGGTCGGCAGGGGGTCGATGCCCTGAGGAGGGGGGGGGGGCGTCCGCTCCCTCTAAATCCGCTACTGCTCGGATTGGTTATAACAATAACTTGTCTAGCCGTCTTTCTAGTTATTCTTTTTCGCTTTCAACCTATTGCGCTTAAAAAATTTCGCCTTATTTTAAAACGGATTAATCGCTTTAGGAGGCGTCGTTTGAAGTGCTAAGATGTTTATCCCCTTGAGGCACGAATCCAACATAAATGTGTCAGCTTAACGCACAATGTTTTTTGGGGATCGTGTTTCCCTATTTTTGATTTGTTTGTCCGAAAAATGAAGCCTGTCAAATTTATAAGTGCATAAAGTTTCACTTATTTTTAAGTAAAATCAAGGAAAGCCAAATTTCAAACTCTGCTTTTATTCTCACCAGCAAAACTGGAACGAAGTTCCCCAGTTTGAGAGGGAAAACCATTAAGCTTCATTCCACTATTGATGATTTAATTAGTAACTAAACCCTGAATAGTAATATTATTAGTATCCATGTGTGTGTGTGTGCCTCGGAAAGAGAGGTACACTAAAAACTTTAGTTTTGTAGCTCCAAAAATTTTTGACTTTTTTTCTGCTTAACGGGTGTCTGTCCATGTATTGGTGTTATTTACAGCTAATGTGTATTTCAATGCGGTTTTTCAATATTGAAAAGTGTTTTGTTGGGGGAGGTGATGTTTTTAAGGCTAAGTTTGACTTCTCAACAAGTAATGCTCATCGAATTTTCGAGAAAGTCAGGTTGGATCAATTGAGCAATCTCCCCCATGTAATGAACGCTTGAGCTATCTCCCCTCCTAAACGAAAGAAAGCAAGAAAGAATTCATTTCTCATTGTTGTTGGTAAATATGCATATAACGAGAACTTAAACATGAAGCACCAGAGACAGTGACGGGACAGTTAACGAACCCAATTGGGTTACAGAGCACTGCCCGTTTTATCAAATAAATACGTAATTTGAGATCTTAAAAGAAAAGGAAAAATATATAAATCTGAAAACAAAAACGGTGAGACGCGTCAAAAAGACATCAATAAAAGCAAGTAGCTGGCTGATGTGTTCATAGCACGCAATCAAGTTACCGAGTATCGAGAAAAATTTTGAAAGAGAAAAAAATCGAAGTTTATATAAAAGAAAATTTTTGTTTGGGCGACCATTGCCTATCATCGGGGGGTCAGGATTGGTGCTAGGGGAAGCGAGTTATCAGGGTTGGTGCTCTAGCTTTGTATCTGAATACCAAAAAATGATTTTTTCATTTAGAACAAAAAAGTCGCGTTATGTGCCTCGGTTTTATTGATTCTTTTTTCACTCTGATTGAAATTTTTGAGCTTCGATATTGTAAATTTTTGCATTCTATGTTCGTTGGAGAATCTGGTTCATGATTTTTTATCATTCAAGCTATTTTCAAGTGGTTATAAACTTGTCTCAAAAACCTAGCTATCTACCCCACACGCGAGGTCTACAATAATTTTCAGCTAACATTGAAAAGTATCAACAAATTTAGGGGAGCGGTTGTGAAGTGGTTACGTCTCGGCCTCTCAATCGAAAGGTAGGATGTTCGAGGCCCACCATGATCCGTGCTCGTTGCTTGAGGGTGAAGCAACATTACCCAGCCCAGAAAAATAACCAAAAAATAATGCATGTAGTTCTTAAACAGGGGCACAACAGTGGTTCGCCGTGATGAGCTGTACAGCTCTTGTGTTGGTCCTTTCCCCCGTGGATAAAATGGTCTTAATCTTAATCTTAATCAAATTTTTTGCAGAGTTAGTAAATCGCATTTCATGGTTTAGCATTTTTAATGAAAATGCAAGTTTCTAAGATTTTTTTTGTCCGGGAACTTTTACTTTTTCCACAGACGCGGGTAAACGATCTATTTAAGTTCAATTCATAATAAGCCAGAAAATTCTTCCCTCAATATAAATTAAGTTCAGCCATATTGCAAACATGGTTTCTTCAGATCTAGTTATGCAATTCGATCTGAATGATTGATTGGTAAAAATGGATAATTACAACTTCAATGTGCCAATAGTGGATTTGAACGTGAACAATTTCAATGTGAAAAGTTACCGCTCATTACTTGAGGTTATCAACAATGCTTCATTCTGCTCTATTGATTTTGAACTTAGTGGATTGGGTTTGGGTCAAAGTTCAAGGTAGGTCAGGTCAGCTATAAATTAGCACAGTTTCTGTTTTGAGCAATCTCGATTGCTGGGTTAATTTCAATTTTTTCGCCAACTCTGGATCTTATTCCTGTGAACTCCCACTCACACAAACATCAATTTTATGATGCAATCAATTGTATACATACATGTAAGGTTGTGCATGCATATCAACTATGATGTAATCGGTATTTGAAATTATTGAATTATTAAGAAAAATCTGTTCACTCGAGTTAGTTTTGTCAGCATGCAAGTTTCATTAAAATAAGACAACTTCGAAATTGTTCTCAAAATTATGTTCAAATGTGGGGGAGGGGAAGGAGTGGAAAAGAGCCAAGATACAGAGTTTTATTTGGTTTAGAACTGCGACGGTGCAGGAGCGATACGAAGACGTGAGACATGCTGCCCAGACGAGATCTATTGTCAGTTTGGGCGTATCTTTCTTCCTCTACAACCCAAAACAACAGAAAGGTGGCCATGTTTTATAATTAGACGACATTTTCTTGAAGAAACGGATCTTTTCAGTTCAGCTCAGTTCTTTTTCTGATCTTTTAGGCGTTTTGTCGCCTCTATCGTTCAGGTCATGATGTACTCCTTTTCGATTAATTAGTCTCAAATTTAATAATTCCTTTATAATTCAAATTTTCCACCCCTTAATTTTCTTCTGATTTTCGAGTGTCGATTTGAAATATCTTTCATGGGTTAAGCTGCAAAACGTGTTTATAGAAAACTGGTGAATAGCGCCCGTTAATGTTAATTATTTCCTCAATGACCGTTTTCTAGCCCCATGCAGGTACATTTTTTTTGTAATTTTTAGCTGAAAAGTCTCTAAAACGGTTCATTAAACAGTCGAAAGTTGTCTGAATTAAAAAAAACTACCCCAAGCATAAATATTTTGTCACTTTCCTCCAAAGTGGGAGCAATAAGACTGCCTTCAGTCACGCAAAACTGCGGAGCTCACAAAATGAGAGTGAAACGTCGCACACTTCGAAAAATGGATTTTAATTTTCTCGCTGATGGAAAAACAAGCAGTTTTTTATTGGTTCAAAAATGTTGCCTCGAAAATGATAGCTGATATGGCACTTTTCACTATGCCCTCATTTAATAAACAGTTTCGGAAAACTAATTTAAGCATGGCCAAATGCTGATATACAATTTTGAAGACAAGAAAAATACTGAACGAAACTGTTTTTGTTCCAGCTTTCGAAGAAAGTGAGGAATATATATGCTCACGATGGTTTTTTATTCAAACCAATTCTTAAAAGATTTTTTCCTCGGGGGATCGATCCCTCGATCTTCTTTGGTCTTGCCGAATTCGCTCACCACTATATTAACTTGCCAAAAGTCTTGCCCAACTACTCGTTCTATAGTTTGATGCTGAGAGAGTAAGCACATTATTTATGCGTGGCGAGTTATCCCGCACTGCAAAATCATCGTACCAAATTTCATTAACCATCAGTTTTATTTCTGAGACATGTGATATAAAACTCAGCTAAGCCTCTTTAAAAATTATGAAGATTAGAGTTTTTATTTTTTAAAAAGTATCGTTGGCATGGGAAGCTTGTGTATATTACGACGTCTTTTCAACCGTCTCTTTGGTGGCACAGGTGTGTAGACAGTAGCCTATGAGCTTGGAGGTCGCGGTTTGATTCTCATGGAGAGAAGTTTTTTCTAAGTTCATTTGTATTTTCGTGCTTTTAACTCCCCTTTTCGGCGTTTTATCGGTCATGTTTGCTAAGTGCAGCTTCACAAAAAAAAACAGAAAACTCCTTAATTAAGTTCCTTTTGAACAATTTTGGTCTGAACAATCTGTGCAGCTTCCACATCAATTGGCTACTCTTCTGATGATTTTTCATTACAAAAATCTCTTTAAATTGCTTTGAATAATAATATATTTCTAAAATTAAAGAACTGGTTAATTTTATATATTTTTTTTGATTTCTAAGCAATACTAGAAAATTTTTTATCTTTTTTATTTCATCAAATGGACTTCTGATGTCAATAATTGTTGTTTACACTTGTTTAGAAAAATGTCTCCCGTTTGATGTCTACGTGTTTGACGCTAAAACACTCTGCAATGAAAACTTCATAATTGAGCCGAAAGCTGCCAAATTTCTCATTAAACATGGCTTTGACTTCAACCAATTATTCCAAATAGGATTGCCCTACAGTCTAGACGAAAGAGATGAGCTAAATGTAACTAAATACGTGAGCCAACTTAAACCAGAGAACTTGTCTATTCGCTTGGTAATTCTTCAGATTATTCGACACAAATTACCGATTGTATTTCACAATGGCTTTTGCGACTTGGTTTTTATGTACCATCATTTTTACCAAGATTTGCCCGAAAAAGCGGACGTGTTTCAGCAGGATGTGAATGATTTGTTTCGAGGAGGTGTTTACGATACAAAATATATATCTTTCGACGCTGAAGATTTATCTTGTAGTTATTTAAGTTATATTTTCAAGAAAATTCAGAGAAACGATGCAATAAACAAGGCAAATAAACTTAAAAATGTCGTGATATCCTTCCCTAAATTTGACAGCATAGAACCGACTATTAACGTGCCTTGCAAGTTGGGTAAAAAATTCCACAGTCTGTTAAACGGAGTTGACATTTCACTGCAACCTGGGTTTGCGATTTGTGAGAAATTTGCTCAGAGTGGCTATTGTTTGATTGGGAGTGAGTGTTCGTATAGTCATAATGTGGATGATATCCTAGACGCGGAATATTATTACACACATCAAAGAGCGCAAAAACGAATAAAACTTGACAAAAACTCGAGTTTCGGAGCGAGTGTTGAGAAAAGTTCGCAAGATGAAAAAACACAGAATGATACGAATTGTTCGTTTGGACATCGAGCTGGTTTTGATTCGTTTATTACCGGATATTGTTTTGCTTATTTTCTTCTAGCGCGTGAAAAACCGAGTTCGTCGCATGAGTTGTGTGATACACGTGAAGACTTTCTTCAGGCGAATTTTAATATTGAGCATATGAGAAATAGATTGGCTCTGGTCAAAAAGACACACCCTTTTTGCCTTATGAAGAGCAACTTCGTGAAAAAGTCGACGGAACATTTGAAAAAATCTGAAATTTTATTTGGGCCAATAAAATGAAGCTCAAACGAATAAACGTTAAGCATTCATTCGGTGCTTTTCATGATAAAAACTGATAAAATTTTTAGTTTGTTGCTTGTTCAACTGAAAGTTGTTGTTGTTACTTATTTAATATTTGCTGAAATAAATTTGGTACAATATGTTTGCTTTTTTCAGCTTATCTGGTCATTAATATCTTTCATAATGAACGAAAGCAAAGTTGTAAGCGGAGCTCACGAAAAGCCCATCAAGTGTTTTCAATAACACTAATTTTCAAAACTAAATTTTTTTAGTTCACAGGTGAATGAAAAAAAACAGTGTATTCGACTTTCAGGTTTAATTTTGAAAAAAGTAAAAAACCGAAAAGTGTTTATTAGCACTGTTCCAATGTCTTCAGGTTATAATTATATAATTTTTGCGAGGCACTAAGCATAGTGGTATTAAGGCTTTTAGTATAGTGGTAAGGCGTTGACTTCTTGATCCTCAGATCGTGTAATCGATCCCCTGCTATAAAACGTCCTTGAGTCGCAAAAAAGAGCTTGGCTCAACAAAAAAAAACAGTCTAGAATGTGGGGAAATAAGAGAACGGACTACTATGCTTAGACCTTTCATAGATCTTCTGCGAATTGCAGAAACGCAATTATTATTTTTATTATTTTGTCCGACTCTATTTTCATACTTCTCCAACCTCGATAATGCTCTAAGAAAAATTGAGTTCCTGTCTTGAAAAATAAAACGATTGCAAAGCGAGATAATTTAGTCTTCATTTTGATGTTTTGGACTTGAATAATTAAAATCAATTGAAGTTAGTGAGATGTTCTAGTTATTTTTGAGAAAATTTTCGTTTTGTTTCATTTCAGATCTTTGTTTTGGCATGCCTGAAGAACCCACCATTAAAAACAGCAATTGAAAATAAGAGTATCTGAAATAAAACTTAACAATAGCAAACCACACCTCCTTAACAATGAGTAATGGTAACAGATTGATGGTATTGTCTCTCTACAAAAACCTGCTGAAAGAGGCGAGGAAGTTTTCAGACTACAATTACAGAGAGTATTTCGTCAGGCGGATTCAAGACACGTTCAGAAACCACATGATTACAGTTGTGCGTATTGAAAAGCTAATTGCAGACGGAAATCGCAATTTAGAAATGCTGAAACGTCAAACTGCCATTGATAATATGTACCATTCTAAAGATATTAAACACTACATGGAAAAGCATGGGCCTAAGTCGTCAAAGAAGTGATGCATAACAAAAGTTGTTTGATGTTTTTCGTGTTATGACAAACTTCACTTCAGAAGGATCCAATAATGATTACACTTGCTAGTAGCAGGTGTCATATAAATTGAAAATGTTTCTGCTGCTAAGTTTGGCAAGATTTCTATTTTAGTATTGAATACACTTCGAAAAAAAAATCTTTGTTTTAACTTAATTCAGCTGTGCGTTTGCGAAAATTGAAAAAATGGATTACCATTATATGGTGTTTAAATCAAAACTCGTTATCAGCTTTTTTTTGAAAGTTTTCAGATTTCAGTTTGATGAAACTAAGAGCAAATTGGCCTTTAAATTAAATGGAAATTTTTTGGTATGGCCGGCCTTGAGCCCCGAGCTCAATGACATTTCGCATTGCAATCCTGTTGATTATACAGTTTTGAAATACCACTTAAAAAAGCGATACTTTTCTCTTTTTGAACGCAAAAAAACTGCAGAGAACTATCGTCCAGCACGTTTGCGATGATTTAGCAGAGATCTCGATGCGAGCAGAAAGATGTAACCTAATTGTAGACATTTTCATCAGCAAAATACTTTCACTGAATAAATGACCAAATTGCATGACAAAGCGAATTTGTTGTTGCAACGTTTAAGAATTTGTATGCATTAGAAATTCTACATTCGTTATTTGTGGTGGAGATGGTAAGTTCTTTTCAATATTGTCGTTTGAGAACGAACGTGATTAATATTGTTTAACTTGTCGTTGAATGATGGTTGTGTTGACGCTGATAATTTTATTGCATTTTTTATTAAAAGTTTTTTCATGCTTATTGCTTGATAATTCTGTCAAAATGGTTGTAATTCAAAGTATTGCCTTTTGAGTTTTGCCGATCGAAACTTTTTTTTTAAAGTTGATTATTTATTGATTCGGGTCGGTGGCGCAAGGTGGTTTTTCTACGCAAAATTAGGTACTACCTATAGTTTTACTATGGACTCGAAAGATTTTGATGAACGTTTGGTCGTAATTTGGAATCCAAAAAGAATTTTTGTTTTTCGGACTTATTCCTGACTAGGCATACAAATGAAAATATGACTTTACTATATTATGTGAGCTACGGTACACGTAATTTTGTAGGTTGATACCGTATCCAACGCCCATTTTTTCTAGGAAAATTACAGAAAGTTAAGCACAAAGTCGAAGAATCAAAAAAATCGACAAAAAGGATGTGGCCAGCAGAAGTTTTGGGATTTTTTGTGATTTTTGCACAGCTACTGGCTACGCTTGTTTGTTTCTTGAAATCATTCTTTTTGATTTGTTGAGAACTTTGTGTTTCATCTTTCTACAGCTAAGCTAATGCTTATGTAGAACAAGGATAGTCCGTTACTGTGCAAATAGAACATAATCTTCCGACCATAGTCCTAAAATTACAAACTTCTCTTTTTACACGAGCATAGCTTGTGATCAAATTTGTGTAGTTTTTTCTGTGTGGTGTGATGAAAAGATCTGTCGACAGTAAAAAACAAAAAGGCCATTTATAAATCAGTGTTTGTAGAAATATGACTAGAAAAACGAAAAAAGTCGTAAAAACTTTTAAAAAAATAACTTTTTTCTACATTTTTTTTTCGCAGAAATGAGTTAAAACTTCCCAAAATGGCGCTAAAAACTCCAAGTATTAACTTTATTTGAATAAAAGTAAGTTGTTACGGCCTAAATTAAGTCTAAATCAGCCAGCACGCTCATCTTAATAGCTAGAAATTAAACCAAAAATCAAAATTTTCGAACCTTTTTTTTCGGCAAACATTTTTTGTCAAATTTGTTTGAATGTTCTACTAAATCACGACTAAAAGGGCCCTAAAATGATATATGACTCAACCCATTTCGATGATTTTTTGTGGTACTTGTTTTACGTGGAAAACAAAAAGAAAAAACAACATACCCTTTTCCCTTTTTAAATCCTAATTTTGTATATGCAAATCCTATGTTTTTGAAAGGTTCTTCGTTTCATACTTTATGTTTAGGTAATTTTGTCGACCACCGAAGATGGCTGTCGTGAATTTTTATGCATTTTTGCATGATTAAAGCCCAAAATGAAATAACCCTTATGTATTCATTTTTTAAATGATTGAGTCAGTTCCAGCCATGTTTAAGCCAAGCGTACATGTTTAAGAACTAAACGCTATCCCTACATGTTTTAGCTACAGTCTACATTTGCATAGCTATGCTGTTCAAATAGGTTTAGGCGAAACTGCTAAGCTGCGTGTTTTCATCTAACCTCTGTTGTGTGCCTATTTGCGTTGTTTTGATTTGTATGTTTTGACTACATCAAGTTTTGCAATGCTTTGCTTCACCATTTTATATATCAATTTTTTAAACCCAAATCTGGGCTATTTAGTATTGATATCTTTTTTATCAAGGTTTGTTTGATCAGCTACTGCTGGTCCCATGATTTGTTGAGGACGCTTGTATAGGATGAAATAATGTAAGTTTTTTTTTTAAAAAAAAACCGTTATTCGATCACTCATGAGATCATTCAAAAAACAACCAAAAAATTTAATGTTATTTTCGCGTATTGATTGATTATCTTTTCTTGGCGTCATCTGTATCGCTGAATCAGCCTAACCTTTGGGTCATTTTTTAACCTATAGAAATAACTTTCCACCATTTATTAATTTTGGAGAAAAAGGTTTTCAATTTCGAAAAAAAACGTAATCCTTCTTGTGGTGCTCTGTGTTGTTGGGTGCGCCTATTGTCTACGCCAATTTTTAAACTGGTTTTTGTAACCTGTCTTAATCAAAAAGATGAACTTATAATTGTAACCTCTCTTAACATTTTTCTTGCTAATAATTAATGACTAGCGTTAAACAATTAGAATTCAGAAAATTATGCACTGGGTGGCTAGTTGTGTTTACACCTGCGAAAGCAAGTGCATGTAATTGGAAACTACATTTTTTCCTTGAACATTTTTCTTACACCTGAAATTGATTTTGAAGTTATATTATTAGTGAACCTTAGCAAATTCGAGACTGCTCCCAGTTGGTCTAGAGGTAACGCGGTTTGCTCTGTACCCTAAGGTCGGAAGGTTCCAGTCCCGACTGGAACTTGTTTTTTTTTCACTTTGCATGAAATTGTAAAAAAAAATTCAGGAAAAATTGAGTTGTCGGTTGGTTAACAGTTTTTCGAGCCATGGAGGAATCCACTGTGGACACTGGGGAGTTGACTTGTCGCGGAAACTTGTAGTGGCTTGTCCACTTTCTAAATTTTTACTGAGTCACCGGACAAGAGTTCTAGCATGCGGTGTGGCTTCAATTAAATCTACGCGCCTGCGATGGCACACCATGTGGGAGATGTTAAATAAATATGGGAGGATTAGAATCTTTAAAATTTCATTACAGGGCGAAGTATAGCGCAATGGGCTGATCCGATGTAGACAAACGAATATTTGTTGCAACGATTAATTGATGAAAAGTGGTTTCAGTTGACTTGCATTGGCCATCCAGACTGAGAGCATGAAAGGGTTTGCTATCTGCAATGGCTTGTTAAGTATGATTTCGGGGAAATTAGGGTGACATGTTAGTCGAAGTTTGGCTAATTGGAGTATCGTTGTTAGAAGTAGGTTGCCCGATGTACGATTCCTCGCATTGATGAAGTGCTTGTTAAAGGTTTTGGCTATATCTAGTGGGGATCTTCGCTCAGGAGTAGTTCAATGATAATGGGAAGGTGATCAAACCTCTGGGACTTACAAATCAGTTTATCTACATGAGTATGTTTTTTGTCGATTACGTTTTTACACTTCAGTTGGGATTAAATTTCAATTGTTGACGCCTTCCTTCTGTCCATTTCCCAACAAAACAAAAAATTTCAGAAAAATAATACATTTCATCTTGCGCAGTTGTTTGTCCTTGCATTCCAGCTACTTGCATAGCAACCGGATACTTTTTTCTATTTTT